CAATTACCGTCTGTTTCTAATTCCAATAGGAAGTTAATTTTGTCCACAAATGTCGCTTCACAAAGGTCGTTTACCCTCATTTCCCTATTTATTTGATTTGTGATTTATTTCCAATTTATTCATTATTCTGATCATTTCAAGGTTACTTAACAATTTTGTGGTTAAAAAAAGAGAGCATCTGTTTGACAATAACACTAAAAAATAAATTATATAAATTTTCCAATCCATGCTCTTATCCCCCACCCAAATCGCTCTATGCCCATTTATAAACAATTCCTATTTTTCACTCATTCATCAACCCCTACCCAACTACTTGCCATCTGTCGGCCAAACATGCATTTTTCATTCATTTTTCTCTTCCAGGGCAATCGCAAATTTTTTTCTTTTTTTTCTTATATTTTTAACCCTCCCTCATTGTGCGCGACTTATTCTGATCCTCCACTTGTGTATGGATGGCATGTGAAAGGAAAAGTGATGGAAGGAAACGGAGGGGCATTGTGCCATCTGCTATAACGCTGTGTCTTTCTTTGTTCTCATTAATGATTGAACCGAATCTAAGTAAATCCAAAAGACCTCCAAGTTTGATCAACACCCTTTTAATGATTAGTGATCGGACTGTGACGAGTTATTAATCAAATCTTTTTTATTTAAAGGATCTACACGATCGGATAGTCAAATTAATTTTTTATTAAGGATCATAAAATATAAGGACAACATATAGGAGGGCATTGTGCCCTCTGCAATGGCAAAGTTGGCCCAGACTTTTCTGTAAAGTTCAGGGGTGTTTTCTTATCCCCTTTCAATCTGTAAGAAGTTGGGATCAGTGAATATAGCTCAGGGGTGTTCCAAAACCGATCTAAAAATCTATGACCTCAATCCTCATATGTCGGTCCGCAAATGTCGTCTCACAAAGTAGAATCCTTAGGCATAGACTGATCCTAAAATCGGAAAGGCAAAAGTTGACCCATTGATATAACAGAATGACTCCGACAAATTACTTCACATAACTGTCTGGGTCAACATTTTTCCTGTCAACATTTTCTCCTGATCAAACAAAACTTTAATAATTTCCCCTCAGGCAAAATTGACCAAAACAAATTATTTTATTAACCAAATACACTTTAAAACACTCACATCTTTCTTCAATTTTTATATTGCTTTTATTTTCTTAGGAGGACTGATGGCTTGGCCCTAGGGGGAGAGAGACAGAGAAGAGTAAATAAAAGTAAGGAAGGAATAAGGGGGGTGATTTGAACTGCGCAACTGTGTAGCGGCTAAAAAAAGTGGTTAAGTTGAAGAAAGGAAAAAAATTGGGGGGAGAAAAATGGAGAGAAAATACGCTTGTGTTTAAGGAAACGATTTTTAGGCAAAAATCCCTCCGAAAATCAAGGGTGATGAGAAGAAGAGGGAAGAATTTTTTTCTTCTTCTTCGTCCATTTTTCTTTATTTTCAAGGCAAAAATGGACGTTAATATTTAAAAGAAGGCGTTGATTAGTTGAAGGGATGAGGACGCTACTTTTTATTAAAAATACGGAGGGAAAGTGAAAATTGTGGGCCACCCGCTGAGAGAGTTTTCGTGTTGATGCTTTTTTGCTGATGCAATCAAATGAAAAAATATTGCTTTTTAAATGATTTTTAAGGAGAATAATCAAGTAAATTAAGCTTTGATTTTATTAAGAATCCATCAAGCCTAGTTCCTCAATTAGAGATTTGATCATTGTAAAATTCTTGCAAGCATTAGGATATAGGTTCAAGTAAACTTTAAATCTTTTCACTCACCAAATAAAATAATTCTTATTATTAATGGCCAGTTAAGTAACTATTATAGTCCCGTCTAAGGTTGGCGGATCCTGAGAAATCTTCGGTCTTCAGATCAGGAATCACGAACCAATATCCGAGCTGATAAGTTTCGGATATCCGAACGTTTTCCAGACTCTGCCGCTTTTTCCTGATTCGGATATCTGGACCCGTCAACCCTAATCAAGTCTCAATTACTAGAGACTTGAATTAAAGATCGGTCACGACTTGAAATTAAGGTCTCGAAAAATCGAGATTATGTCTTTGTCCGATAACTAGTTTCAATCTTTGATTAGACAGAAACTTAAGTAACTTATTTACTATTTTGTAACAATATTGCATACATATTTATTAAAAAAATATTTTCTTTATCCCATAAATTTTCCTTTGTACACATAAATGATTTTCTCCAATAATATTTTTATAAAAATAATTTTTCTGATTCAAAAAAATGTTTTTGTGTAAATAAAATAAAGGCAATTTATTTTACGGACATTTTTAAAAATGTATATTTTAAAGAGATCAACTAAAGGAATATTTTTAGTTATCTAAAAAAATTTTTTTTATTTTTGAGAAATAAATTTTGGAAATAAATTTTGGAGAAAATAAAAATTTTAGTTGATCAATTTATTTTTTTTAAATTTTTTTTCATGATTTTTATTTTTTATTTTCTTCACACTTTTATTGACCGTTTTATTCTCTTTTTTTAAAACAATAATTTTAATGATCAAACAATTATTATCTTAAAAAACACTCTTTCACGGCTTCAAAAAAAAATTTTTTTTGTCGGTGTCCCATCATTTCTTTTTAAATTCACTTATTTTTTTCTTTTTGATCAGAAAAAAAAATAAAAAAAACTAATTTAAGAAAGTATATGGGGATTGTTGAAATATGGCCTGCCTTTTTGCTGTTCTCTTCCCTAAAAATTATTTTTTTGTGCGCGTCAGTTTTTGTATATGATCCTATTTTTTTTAACTTTCTTTTCCTTTTTTTATTTTTGAAAATAAATTTGTTGATGTTAAAAAATATAATAATTAACTTCCATTTTAAAGAAAACAAGTTCATCTCTAATCAGTGCCGTGATCATCAATGCCTCTAATCGGGATCACTAGGATTCAAAAAATTTTTTTGAGTTGCCTAACAATATTCTACCTTAGTTTTTGTCCCCAATTGTGTGTACCAGGGGTGTGCGAGTTTCGCCTTTCGTCTTTCGCCTTTCGCCGATTTTCGCCTTTTTTGGACTTTCGCCTATCGCCTTTCGCTTTTTAAAATCATTTTCGGCACATCCCTGGTGTGTACCCAATTTTCATGTACTAAGTATCATGTGCCCAAGTGTCATGTCCCCAATAGCATATACCCATTTATCGTGTGTTCAAAAGTTCGATCACTGGATCGGACGATCTGATCACTGACTTGTCTGACCGATCACTGAATAAAATAGATATTTTTAGATTACGGAAAAAACTATTTTCAAAAAATTAGTTTTATTTTATTTTTATTTCCCTCTTTGTTAAGAAATAAATTTATTTAGCTGTGTTGAATGATCATGATCATTCCTTTCTTATCACATTTTCCTTAAATTTATCAAAATTTTTAACTAAAAATATATTTGTAATTCTTGCAAGTGTTTAAATATTTTAAATTAGAGATCGATTGGGAGTGATCGATCAGTCTCTATATCGATAAGCGGGTATTGATGATGCTTCGCAGGCCCTACCAAAATTCGTATTCTTACCAGGATCGGATGGTGAACCTAAACTCAGAAATCCGAAAGCCGGGCTTTTTTCAATCCGAAACCCGATCCGATGAAAAATTTTGAAAACACGACTCGAAGCCCAACTTGATTCTATACCCGTCCAATCGCTGATTCTTACACGTCTTATGAGTAGGAGGCCAAAAATAAGAGTTTTACCGAAGAGCGTTTTACGAAATAGAAATTTCGAGGACTTTTCTCGTTTTCTGAAAAACTAAATTAGATCACGATCAGATACTGATTCAAGATTTTTGACTGATATCTCGACTTGTACCATCTCCATTACTGAACTATACAACCTCTCAATTTCCCCCTTAATTTACCCATTTTTTAGAGAAAAACATTACACACTCTCCCTCTTTTTGAGGAAATAATCACCACTACCCAACTCAAATTTGGCGGGCTCTACTATATAAAAATAATCTTTATTTGATCTCCAATTCTTTTTTTTTCATCCCTCTGTGAACAATCGACAAGAAAAGTGAGCATTACTCTCTATTTGAGGGAGAATGATCGCGCAATCGGAGAAAAATTGTGTGTGAATTGAGTGATGGCGAATGTTTTTATATATTTATTTGTGTGTTTTTGATCTTTAAGATTTTTTTTTTGATTTTTAAATGTCTAATTTACAAAAAAAATTCTTGTAATGTTTATTTCCAACTCATAAATCAAATTCATAAGCAATCCAACTTTTAGCCTAGAAACTTGGATACTCCTCAATTTAAGACACGTTTTCTAAAATTTGATTGGCCACTAGGTGAGGGAGCCCTCCCTCTGGACCTTATTACGGAGAGACTTGCTGGTGATCCGGAGAGACCCGGGTGATACTTCGGAGATTTATGCAATACCCCCCCCCCAAAGACAGTATATAGTCAGGCGACTCGAGACGTCACCTTCGGAACCGAATCGAGCCGATATTAAAGAAATAGGGTCCTATTGGAGGTAGAATCACGCTAAAACACCCCTTCTTCTGGACCGCATTATGGAGAGACATGTTGATGGTGCGAATCGAGCCGTAATATAAGGAATAAGGTCCTATTGGGGGTAGAATCACACTAAAACACCCCTTCTTCTGGATGGACCGTATTATAGAGAGACATGCTGTTGGGGAGATAAGTTATCAAGAGTCGACTATCTTTAAGATAAGGGGTTACTTATTACCTACCTCGCTGATCTTGATTAGGTAGCTTATTAAATCATCTATAGGGAGAATCTCCACTTCACTTCCCCTTAATTGACTTATCTCAATCCATAATTCTTAATCAATCGTCTCTCTGCCTGATCAGCCTCTTCATTTCCCTCTCTTCATAGTCCCCTTGATTATATTCAAAAATTATAATATTTTATATATAAAATTTTTATATTTATTTATTTAAGTATAGCAAATCAATTTTTTATTCTTCTCCCCCTCTGTCGATCACTCCTAAAAAATGCTCTCAATAACAACTAACTAAACAACACACTTTTCCGTGTGTTTGCCATTTGATTATTGCCCATCTTTTCTGTATATTTATTTATATGGTGTCGGCCCACATTTTTTTTCTACCTTCTTTCCTCTATCGCCGCGTATCACACCCCAAATATATGACCAAATCACTAAAAATATTTTACAAGCATTTTCCCATCCAGTAACTTAACTGCGCTCCTTTCCTCATTTTTTTTGCCTCCTTTAAAACCTTGACTTGTTCTTATCGATGACATTACTATTTTTTGTGATTCTTGTCTCTCTAACTTAGAGTTAGTTTATTTTTGATAAAGAGAATTCCTTTTAATCAATCGCCCAGGTTAGAATTGCCGGATACATAGTTGTGGGCTTAAATCAAGCTTGATAAACACCGAACGCAAAGCTTAGGAATCAGGGTTGTAGATACGGATATTCGGATCTGAGAATTACCAGATATATGAGTGTAGGTGAAAGCCACGAGAGTGAGAGAGAAGAGAATTAGCGAGACCCACTCTGTCACAAAAAATTTTTTTCGGTTCCCGATCCTGATATCCGAATATTTCAAGGATCCGCCAACCTTAGAGGAAAGGTTGAGAAGCTTAGAAAAGCTAGGAATTAATATAAAAATCTAAAAACACATCTTTGACTTTTAAACAGCCTTTCCATCCTGATCTTCACTTTTCTCTTAAATTCGATTTCAATTTGATTTCAATCTGGTTCAGTAAGTGAACCGTCTTTACTGTCTTTATTATTTAATTCTTATCGTGTTTTGATCAACTCTTAGTTTAATTTATTTATTATTGACAGAGTATACTTAGTTAAAAGTATGGTTAAAACTTCTGAACCCAGTACAACATTATTAGATAATAATGGTGATCCAATCTGCAGATCTCATCAAGCTTCAGATGATGATGCGAGTAATGCAAACGACTTTAATAAAAAGGTGGGAGGATATTTTGGGTAATTCCAAGCTTTGTCCCCCCCCCCCCTTTTTTTTGTAGTAATTTTTATCTAGAAGTTGAATGGTGATTCTATAACCTCGTGTTTGTTGATCCACTCATATCTGAAAAATTTTAAAAAGCGACATGGATTAGGGTTAGAAATCGGATCACACCTTAATACTGACGGTATTTTTGGTATTCCTCGGTATTACGTAACGACCCTAAAATTTCGACCCTAGAGACCCTAAAATTTTCAAGGTCATCGGTATTTATTGTATTATTTTACTGAATACGGTAGGTTACAAAATTCCAATCTCTAGTCAGGATGAAGCAATTCCTGTCTTTACTCGATTACTTTTTCTGTGGGAATTATTTTTCCGATTCATCCCAAGAATATTCCAGAAGGGAATTATGACGGGAATTATTTCCTTGACCATCTCTTGAGAGTTATTTTTCTAATTCATCTTTAGAGTACTCGAGAAGTGTTTATTTCCTTAACCATTTCTGGAATGGGAGAATTAATTGAGTAAATACAGTAGGGTTGCCGTTTTCGAGTCGAGCCAACGTTCGGTGCATTTTTTCGTGCTTGGTTTTTTTCGATTCGGTTCGTTTTCGAGCCTTTCGAGCTGAAAAGCCTCGGCCCGCTTGATCTTTCGAGCTTCAGTTCGAGCGAGCTGGCAACCCTAAAATACAGTAATAATACAGTAATCCTATAAATTTTTTAAAATTAAATTTTCAATTTCTAGTCACTAAATGGAGGTAATACTTCCTTCTTTGACTTACCCGGATCGTCCATTAATTCAACTACTAATACCTCTACCTCCACTTCTTCAGGGCATTTAACTGTTGAGAAATATATTCTTCAATTGCAGCAAAAAGATGAAAGGGTAAATTGAGAGGATTTGGATAAAATGTCTCAAAAATTAAAAATTTTCTAGATTCGCACTTTAAAAGACGAAAACAAACGGTTACGCTCTACACTCCTTTCCAAGACTAGCGAGTTTCAAATTCGAGTGGATGAGTTGGTTACGGAGTTGGAAAGACAAGCTGAGATTGTCAAAAAGCTTCAGAATGAATTGGCAGTATGTCGAAGGAATGCTGCTAATAATACTTACAATGAGAGTGCTCCGAGGTGCTTATAAACCTCTATCTTATCACCCTTAGTTATTATCTCATCTTGTAAATTAGGAATTTTAGCTTCGGAAAATACTACGAAATAGTGTTGTATTGGGGAATCTCCTGCAATGATCCACCTCAATTATAAGCTGATTCTTTCCGTTGGTATCTGTGAGACTCGTTTCCCTGGGAGTTTAAGTGTTAGAGGGAGTTTAAGTGTCTCCTGGGTGTGTCCCTGGGAATGTAAGTATCAGCGATCCTGCCGTCCCGATTTTCATGAAATTAGAAATTCCCAACGTCTCTTTAGTCGGAATTCCCAATATCTTGAAATTGAGAATTTATTTTTTGTCGGCGAGATCACTGTTGGGGTTCAAACAAAAATCTGATATAACTGAGAGATTTGGATAGTACATTTTGGAGTTTTTTAGATCGTTTTTAACCAAAATTAATGAAGCTATACTAACTTTAAACAAATTTTTAGGGACCTTCCAAAAAAATTGTCGGCTTCCGGATCATTTATTCCACACAATCCTTCCTATGTCTCTCCCAAATCAACAAATACCTCTCCTTATAAAAATATCCGAACAAATGATCTACAAACTGACGATATTTTGGCCAAATTACAAAGCTTTAATGAAAGAAATGGGGTTGTAGATGTTCAAAAACAACAACAACAAATTATTTTGGGTTCAAAGAAAAAGAAATCTTCCCTAAAAAGTCCACCAATAATTCAAAAACAACAAAGTTGTGAAGTCCCTTTAATTTTTCAGAATGGTAGGGATTTTGGATTTTCATAAAGTCTCAGATTCTATTCCTGCTTGTATCTAGACTGGGGTTGAAGACATCTTGAAAGTCTTCAGATATTCGGATCCGAACCGAAAAATCCTTGGTTTCCGGTTTGATCCTTTACCGATACCTTTAATTTAACGTCTTACTGACACTTATAGTCTCCGTAACTTTTCTCAAATTTTATCCAATCAGGCAGATTTATGTAGACTCACATTAGGGCCGCGTTTAACGTACTATTTTTATCTAATATCGAAATCCTATCCTTTCAATTTAAAAAAACGATAAAAAGCCAAATTATAAAAAAAGTTTTTGGTTGAATTTTTAGTTGATCATAATGTTGAAGAGACTGAAAATCAACAGCAACAACAACAAAATTTAATCCCAATTGAACAATTATGCAAAATGATATCTGAAAATCCTGCTACATTATTACCTGCTGCTGCACTTATTTTTGGTAGTGCTTCGATAACAACCACAACACAACAACCAGAATTTTCTGCTGAGCAAGGAGGGGGGACATTTTGTTTAAAGGAAGAAAATGAATATGAAGAAGATAAAGTTGAGGAAGAAGAACAAAATAATTTTGAGGGACAAGAACAATCAACACAGGACGCTGCTGAAGCAGCTGCTAATCTTATTAGTTTTTTAATGGAATCAACAAATAATTCGAATAATTTGGCTGGTGAATAAAAATTTTTATTGAAATTTTTATTGGGAAAGTTGATCAAAATTTTTTGGAATAAACTTGACCCTTTTTATAATGAACGGAAGAGGATAGGAGGAGTGTTTACTTATGGATCATTAATAAAAACACTTGTTTCTTTGATCATCTGATCACTTTTGTTGTTAACTGATCATTCTCTCTCTTGATCAGCTGATCATTCTCTCTTGTCGATAACTGATCACTCCTTTATTGATTCATTCTCTCTGCTGATCAACAGAGAGGATGGTCAGTTGATTCTCTCTGTTGTTCACTTATTCGATCGCTAATTGATCACTTCCGCTTGATTGATCACTCGATTTGATCGCTATTCACTTGTTAAGGGAAAATTCTCTAATGATCAACTTTCTCGATTTAACGATCACCTTGATTTTTTAATTTTATTTTTTGAATAAATTAATAAATTCACTCCGACGCCTAAAAATTTTAGAGCCCAATAATATTCCGTTTTTTGACTTGGGGACCAAAATTTCGAAAAATCTTGTTGGTAAAATTCCGGACCACAGTTGACTCCCTCACATGAAAGGATAGGAGAAGGTTTTCTAGTAAATTGTAAGATAAGTCCTAGTTCTGAGTAGAAGTCGGTATGTAGAGAGTTCAATACAATAGAGGGTTTAATACCTTTTTATTCTTTATAGACTAAATTTTTCAAATTTTTCAAGTAGATCCAACCCCATCCTCTTCTTTTGCTTCAACCTCAACTTTCCACAACGATTCTATCCCTCAACAAAATTTTCCTTCTCATCGCCGTAGCAAATCACGTCGAAATTCAACCAATTCAGCACTAACAGAAACTCCTTCCCAACGTCAACTACAACAAAGTTTAGATTTTGAGGAGGTAATGCAACGTGTAATAGGTGAAGCAATGAATGGAGGGGTAATTGACAACAACAACAAAACTTTAATTAATGAAAGTCAGCCTAATGAGAAACAAAATATTGAAAATATTTTGAAAAATAATAAACAAAAATTAACAGCAACATCGTCATTGAATATTTCTTCCCCTTTGGCTACAACACCAAATAATAAACATAATTTTTTGACACCCACTTTGAATGTAAATAAAATAATTTTTTAAAAATATTTTTAGGGGATAATGGTCTTTTTTAATTTTATTTAGAGTATGACCTCACTAAATGATAAGCCCTTATGTTAGAGTTGAGAAATCGTAACTTATATTTGTAGGGTTGGTGGATCCGGGCCAGAAAGTCAGGATATCCGAAGATTTTTGAATACGTATCCGGATACCCAGGGATTTCCCAGGATCTGCCAACCTTATTGAGGTCTATCTTAAATTGGAGATTTGGGTAGCCCATCTCGCCCAATGGTCAACGAAACTTTTAGAAAACGTATCCTAAATAGAAGTACTTCACTATAAGATACACCCTTAGAAAAATCATCTTTTATTATGAAAGCTACTTTGAATAGAAGGTAACCCCTTAAGCATTTTCCTACACCCAGTAGTAAAGTTGGGGGCTCGGTCAGGTCCGAAAGATCGAGTCGGGCATCGAATTTTGGACAGAAAAAAGACTCGGCCGGTCCGATAAAAATGAGGCCCTAAAAATGACTCGAACGTCGGCCCAGTCCGAAACCCCCAACCCTACCCATTAACAAACTAAACTATAAAGAACGTGTCTTAAATGGAGGTTTATTTAGTATTGAGGGTATTCCAAGTGAGCTCAGTCTATACATACTACTATAACAATTAAGTAAATTTTTTAAAGTCTTCAAAGAAGTCAATAAATTCATCAAATCATTTATCCAAAAATAATGTCGGCGCAAAATCAAATGGTAATACTCCACATACTTCTACTGTAAAACCCTTTACTCCGGAAGAACAAAAACTTGCTAATGAAATTGAAGTATGTTCGGGGGAAAAAATTTTTTCGAAATTTTTTTTTGAACTTTTAAAGTCTCGAATCGACGCAAATATTCTCAAAATTGAAAATTGTCATTTAAATACTACAGAATTGGCTCTTCAATGTACTCGAGTAATGCGTGAATATGGTATTGGGCAACGCTTATTTGCACGTACTGTTATGTGTAAGGTATCGCAGGTGAAAATTTATTTAAATTAAAATTGAACTATAAAATATAATGCTTATTATTCCCCTCTTTCTTTTGGAATTGACATTCTATTAGGTGTCGAGACTCTTTTCAACTTACTCTAGGCTCTTCGTTATGTTTGGCGTTTCGCGTTATTTTCGAATTCAAATATCGTGCACAATAGGGATGGACTTTTCCGGTTTCGCGTTTTATTTTGTCCGTCCTCCGTTTTCCGCTTTTTAAAATTCGGTAGGGTCCATCCCTGGTATTCAGTACGTCTTTTGACCAGTTTAAAGGACTTGGCCGGGTTTAGACCAGGTTTAGAGGATTTATCATTCAGGGAATTATTTTTTTCAGAGTAATATTATCTGGGACCTTTGATCATTTTCATTTACTAACTGTTTTAGAAGAAAGAGTTGACTGTTTTTTTTTGTATTTTAATTTTTGATAATTTCACAATAGTGCAGACATAAAATAATAATTAATTTTTTAATGAAAGTGCATTAAATTAATTTTATTTTTAAAAATTTTAACGTCATCTAACTTCTCATTTCTTAGCCCCTTTTAAAATTAAAATTAACAAAAAAAAATTTTTTTCAGTCGCAAGGTTCGCTAAGCGAACTTCTTTCCAAACCAAGACCTTGGAACAAATTGACAGATAAAGGACGCGATTCCTTTCGTCGAATTTATGGATGGATATCTGACGATATCGTTATTGACTTACTCTGCCAATTAAATCATCGTAAAGGTGCTTGTCCAGATAAGGTGATCCATCCAGACCCACAAACCTTCATTGCATCACCAGAGGATAATTTGGACGGAGAAACAACAACAGCAATTTTTGAGCCTCCAACATTAGTCGACAAAAAAGGTCGTTTAAAAATTCTCTTCCACAACATTTTAAAGATCAACTACTCCATGGACATATTCCACAAAGCGGCATTGACATCAAATGTCGCGACATTTGCCAATCGCTTGGCATTCCGATTGCGATTGTGTTCCACATAGAGTTGCACCCTGACCCCGTACCTCGACCATATTTTGCTCCCCCGACCCGAACCCGCCCCGAAACAATTTGAAACCCCCGTACCCCGACATACCCGCCCCTAGCGTGCGGGGTGCAACCCTAGTTTCACATGTGACTTCAAAGTTATTATTTAGTGGGACACAATCCTATGTCAATGTCACTGTCACGGTTGACATTTGTTGCGATTGACATCAACATTTGATGTCAATGTCGCTTTGTTAGACCCACAACCCTTCATAGGCCCCAGAATTCGGCCTAACTACAGTTTCCGTACCAGGCTCAGAATTGGACGATTTATATGTCATTCGAAAGAGCTCGTCGAGCTGAGTCGAACGACACCAAAATTATTCAGCGGAAAAAATTCTGAGCCGAGTTACAGGCCCCCGAAAATCGAAAAACCATAGGGGGGACCAAGCTGATTTTTGGGGTGAAAAATTCGAATATGCAAATAATAGCTCATTTGAAAGAGCTCTTCAAGCCGAGTCGAATGACACCAAAATCGCCGTGATTGGTCAAGTTTGTTCAAAGTTATGACAGAAAAAACAAACAACGTAAACCTATGGGGCGTCGGCGAGGCGCTTGTGCAAAACTCCGCGCTTCGCGCGGAGTTTTGCGGCACGCGCCTCGCGGGGAGTCTACGGGCTCTGGGTCTGGGCTCGTAACTTAATCCTATTCCAATTATCGCTGTGATGGGCATGCCCAGCTTCCTCCGCAGCAGCAAGAACATCCACGGAGAACAAAGGTAAGGAGCTAAAACAAACGGTCATAACTTTGTCAAATCAAGTCTGATTTCATTGATTTTGGTGTCATTCGTCTCAGCTCGATGAGCTCTTTCGAATGAGGTATAATTTGCATATTTGAATTTTTCACCCCCAGAAAACAGCTTGGTCCCCCCTATGGTTTTTTGAAATTTAGTGGTCTGTAACTCGGCTCAGAATTTTTTCCGCTGAAAAATTTTGGTGTCATTCGACTCAGCTCGACAAGCTCTTTCGAATGACATATAAATCGTTCAATTCTGAGCCTGGTACGGAAACTGTAGTTTAGCCCAGAATTCTCTTCTTTTTATTTCTCTATTTTTTAGTATCTCTACGACAAGTTAATCCAATCCAACCTCCAAACAACTCAATTTTAAGGGATATTAAAACAGAAATAATGCCATTATCTCCAGATTATTTACAATATAAAAATAATACAAAAAATTTAAAAATGGAAGCAGTAAATGAAGGAACTGAAAGAGGAGGAGGGGAAAGAGGAGGAGGACGGTGGAGACACGATGATATTCCAAAGGAGAAGATTATTGGAATTTTGGAAGCTGAAAAGGCTAAAATACTGGAACAAGAATCTAATAATTATTTAAATAGAGAATTGGGGTTATCTTCAGTTAAAAATGGGGATTTGGTAACAACAACAACACATAATTCTAGAAGAGGAAAAAGTGTTGGTAATGTGGATAGTGAATATTCGGTTTCGAATAAGGTAGTTTTTGGATCTTTTAAATAATCTAATAAATTGATACTTGGGCTGTGCCGAATAGAAATCTTAAACTAAAATCTCGGCTATCGAGATTAATATCTTTCGAGAACCTGATTCTAGTAACAGTAAGGATGATTTACCTAGAGCATTTAAAGCTCTTAAGCGGGGGTAAACAATCTAAAAGAATAAAAGATAGCATTAAGCGATGCCCGGTAGCTCATTGTCAGTGGTAGAGCTGTAGCTATAGCTACGAGTAGGTCGCAGGTTCGAATACTGCCCGTTGGAAAAACTTTTACGATCACGATCATAAACACTAGGATCTTGAATATACTGTTCAGAATCATTGCATACTATTATGGTCTAATACAAGTCTATTTTCATTAGGGCTGCTTACAATTTATAAGTTGTAAAATTTTTGTAATCGCGTATTCTCTTGATTTATCTTCAATCCTCTTCTACTTTTTTAGTCTAATCTCTGTTTTAAATTTATAGACTCGTCGTTCAAAAGATACACTTTCTGATCATCAACAACGACCCTCAAAATCATTATCCCCTTCTCGTAACTTTTTTGATCCTCCATTTGCCCCAACACAATCACAAATCGACAAATATTCTTCCCTTCAACTCGATATAGAAGATATTGCTCGACGTATGCGAGAATTTATGTCCAAGAATGCAATAAGTCAAAGTCAGATTGGTGATAATGTTGTTGGGTTATCACAGGCAAGCTTGTTGATTTTAATAAAATTGGCCCTCGTTATAAGATTCGTCCATGTGGATGGAAAAATAGTATCTTAATGACCTGTATCTTAAATTGGAGATATCGCTTAGGCTCCCTCATTTATGGCCAAATTAATTTTAAAAAAGGTTTCTTAAATTCGTTTGGAAGAATGTGGGTTGGGGCTTCAAAGTATTTTTTAGATCGGGTTTAGGGTTGAGAAAAAAGTTTCGAGTTTGGGTATCGTTATTAACACGGAGACATCTTTGGTCCCTTTGTTTATATTCTCTGGGTTCACTGTGAAGTTGCCTTCATATAATTACTTTAAAAAATACTTTAGGGATCAGTCTCAGACTTGCTAGGACGCCCAAAACCCTGGAATATATTAACATCAAAAGGCAGAGAACCCTATGTTCGAATGTATCTATTTTTGGAACAACAACAAAAACGAAGTGAAAATGGAGAAGAAAATGGAAGAATTGAGCAAAATAATGATGATTTGGACTCACAAAAATCTTTAGACTTAAGACTTGAAGATACAACAGAAGATTCTAGTTCGACTAAGGGTGAATGTGGGGAAGAAAATGAATTAAATGAAGAGGAAGAAGAAGAGGGATGTTCAACTAAATTGAGAATTATTGAGGAGGAAGAGAGAGAAGAGGATGAAGAGAAGGTTTTTGAAGAAGAAATTGAAGGGGAAGAAGGTAGGAAGGAAGAGATGAGGGAAGAAGGTCATGAGAATGAAAATAATGAAGAAGATAGGGGTGAAAAGGTTAAGCGAACAGCGTCTTATACTTCTTCAAGTGATGATCAACCAGCTGCTAAGAGGCCTAAAAGGAATAATAGTACTATTAGTGAGGCAAACGGCTCTGTAACACCGATAGAAGCTAATTCCTTAGATCAAATAGACACTGCAGATGTTGCAAGACGTATAAGGGAATGTCTTGCACGTAGTGGAATATCACAAAGGGTAAAAGAAAATTTTGGATTTTTCTGCAATATTTTTTACAGGCATTCGCTGAACACTTATTAAAAATGACTTCTGGGGGTTTCTCTGATTTATTAACTAAAGCAAGGCCTTGGGTAATGCTTGGATGGAAACATCGACAAGCTTATCAAATAATGGTAGAATAAATTAAATATTAGGATTTTTAGACTTATCCCACCATTTTCCTTCCCTTTATACCACACATTAGTGATGATTCTAACAAGTTGAGCCGTTAGTCTGGAGTGAAGGAAATTGGTTCGAAAATAATTCAATCCATTTTTTTCTGAACATTTATTGAGATTATAGAGAGAATATACATTTAGATCAGTCTATTCTGCTGGATTTTCATTTTAAATTTTCTAAAAATGTCCACGTTTGACTGGTATTCTAGTTAGATTGGATTTTAGTCTAAATATGTAGACGAAAACGGGATAGATCACTCTAGACTGGAACGGCTATTTGATTTTCAAGTTTATTCGATATCATAAGGTTACAGTATATGAGAATTTTGACCTCCTAAATAACCAGTGATGGGAAAGTTCCAAAATTTCTCTCGAACCGATTCCAGTTCTGGAACTGGAACTTTCTCATCACTGTCGTGACAACTATGTTTCATTTTATTTTATAGGAGATAGGATAGATAAATTAAAATGATGGATGGGAGCGATCAACGACTAAAAATTTTTCCAAAGAATTTTTCCTAAAATTCTCTTCAAAAAAATTTTTTTCACAGGTTGAATTCCTTGCCGATCCCGACGCTGTAGAACGTTTGCGTGATGATGAACGCCATCGTTGTGAAATGAATAATGCATTAAACGCTCTTCGAGCGATTGCTGCTGTTGCGCCTCCAATAAATGAAGAAAATGAGGAAACAAATAACAACAATATTTTTGATCATCACCTCAACAATAATAAAAAATATTATTCTTCCTCTTCTTCCCCTTCTTCTAGACTTTCACCTTTTACTTCTACAACAGATCCTTTAATTACTGCTACTTCCACTTTACAAATCGTATCAAATTTAGCCAATGAATTGGGGGTAAATACTCCGATTGGAACCATTTTAAAGAAGGCGAATTCTCCAAACCCGGCAATTTCAACTCCAAATGGAGTGCATAATGTAAGAGAGTCTTACAATTGACCTCGCTATAGGATACACTCTTGGGGCTAGAAAGTGTCTCATATAATGAGGTGTATATTGTATAGAGGGATGGCATAAGCAGCTCTCCAACTTATTGGCAGTGAGGTGGGTTGAGGTGAGATGAGCTCCCCCATCTCCACTAGGGTTGGGGTTTTCGACCGGGCCGACATTCGAGTCGTTTTTTCGGGCCTCATTTTTATCGGACGAGATCGGCTGTGTCTTTTTCTGGCCAAAATTTGATGCTTAGCTTGATCTTTCGGACAGGACCGCCCCCCCCAGCCCTAATCTCCGTTAACTCTCCGACCTCTACAACCTAGCCATCTTAACTTGAGGTGTATTTTTATAGCGAGGTCCGGCTGTATTTTTTCACTAAATAAGGATCTAAAAATTTTTTAGAATAATTCAACAAATAAAAGAAAATTAAGTACTCCAACCTCAATAAATAATAATAATAATTCTTTGATCAAATCAACAAATACAGCAACAACAATTCCGATAAATGCAAGTGCTCCTCCTTCAGCAGCTAAAAGACTTCCAGTAAATTTTTGAATTTTTTTTTGAATTTTTTTTTTGAAAAATTTTGAAATTTTTTTGAAAATTTTCTGAAAATTTTTTTTTGAATTTTTGAAATCAAAAAAACTTTTTTTTTTTAATTTTTTGAAAAATTTTTTAAAAAATTTTTTTTGAATTTTTTGAATTTTTTTTGAAAAATTTTTTATGAAAATTTTTGAAAAAATTTTTCAAAAAAATTTTTTTGAATTTTTTGAATTTTTTGAATTTTTTTGAAAAATTTTCAGAAAAATTTTTTCTAAAAATTTTAGAAAATTTTTTTGAACTTTTTTTTTGAAAATTCAATTTTTTAGCGTTTTCAACGTACAATAATCACCGATCGTCAAAAAGAAGCTTTAATATTTATTTATATACACGAACAACGGCCAAATTCAAAATTAATTGAGCAATTGGCAGCAAAAGTTGGATTGCAGCCACGTACTGTTAATAATTGGTTTCACAATCACCGAACTAGAAATAAGGTCGGAGCCTCTTCTTTCACAAAATTTTTTTGTTTTTTAGGAAAAACAAGTTAAAACTGATGGTGGGGAAGAAGAAATTATAACAACAATTAAAACTTCTCATTCAACAACCCCAACACCCGCCCAAGTTTTAAGTAGGGCATTGAATGCAACTGATACAAAAACAACAAAATGGTTTAGGGTAGGGGGTTTTTTGATTTTTTTAAAATTAAAATGGAAATTTAAATTAAAATTATTGTGAATTACCGTCATTTCGGGATCAACATTAGATATTGAATTTGGGGGAGTTGTACGTGAATCGAGATCTATAAAGAATTGATATCGATAACCGTTGTTTTTTCGTTAACTTGTCCCGTTCCTATTTCTAATCAAAATTCTAGCCCCTCCATTAAGGTTGGCGGTTCCGTAAATCCGGAAATTTCACAGGAACCGCCATCCTTACCAGGGCAGGGCGTATTTCGCACTTTCGCGTTTCGCATCTTTCACATTCTCGCATTTTTCAGCGCGAAAAGTTTCGCATTTCGCTTTTTATTTTTAGATTTCGCCCAGCCCTGATCCTTACCCTCCATTAACTTTTTAAATTTTTATAATATCTTTTTTGTCCTTCATAGCAGGGATGGGATGAATTATCGAGAAAGCCGGGTCGGGTTTCTAATCCAAATTTTTCAGTCTAAAAAAGTCCAAATTTCAACCCATCCCGCTCCAACTCTAAATTTTCTTTAAATTAAATTTTTATATTAAAAAATTTATTTTTAGGAGCTTGCTGAATTATTACACGTAAATAACGAAAATATAACAACAACAAATAACAATCAAGACTTTTCAAATTATTATTATTTGTCAAATATTCTTAAAAATGACTCAAAAAATGAGGGTAGTTCACCTTCACCAAATAAAATTTTTAAAGAAGAACCGGAACAGATAACCGGAAATAATGATGTTAATATTAGTCCAATTTCTTCTCCAACAGCTTCTACTACAAATAAGACTGGCAATAGTTTATTGGATCGAGCAATTGCACGAATGCATAATAGAATAAAAACTGAGAGTGTTTAATTGGAGAGAGGATTTTTTTGTTTTTTTTTAATTTTTTGATTTCATTCCATTTAATTTTTGATATCTTTTTTAAAATATTTACTTTTAGACATTCCAAAATAATTTTGATTATATTTTTTAGTTTCCCTAAAATGAGGACTAAACAATAAGGTTGTCACCGGATATCCGGAAATTTTTGGTTAGGATATCTGATCTGGATATTAGAAGATTTGAAAATATCCGACAACCTTACTGAACAATAAACGAAAAAATTATCAAGTTATACATCTACCGTATATACTCTATTAATTACCCCCTTCAGTGATAAGTCGTTTACTTACCCAGGGTAGTTATTAGAGCATATGTAGGTATATCTTAGTTAGTCTCTCAATAAAATCTGATTAGTTTTTGTCTGTTCTTTATTTAAATCGTTCTCTTCCATTATTCAGTATCATTGGTTTACTTAGAATTTAATTTTACAATTAAAAATAAAATTACAACCGGAGTTTATTATGCATTTAGGCAGCTTCCCTCACCCATTGGCCAATTAAATTAAAAATGCACACTTAAGGATTTATAAAACGAGTTTGGGTCTACTTGGAAAATTTCCTGGAATATTTCTGGGCCTTAACATTTTTGGTAGCAATCTCTTTAGCTCGATGAGAGTTTAATACTAAATTTTGAAAGATTCCAAAATCTTGAAGCAAGTTATGGCTTTGAGCTTACTTGGCTGCGCGCGGGCTTTACCCCTATGATACGTAGTAATTTTAAGTCTTTTGAATTTATTATAAAAAGTTTTTTTTCTTGTAACCCCATAAGCATATTTTTTTCTTTATTTTGCCCATTTTCTTTATATCATTCCACAATTATCTACACATACATGACATTCCATACATTTTGATTTACTTTATTTATGCATATATAGAAAAATATTAAACACATTTTCAATTATAAATAATTAACGAAAAATGTATTTTTTGATTTTTGTTAAAATTACTCGAATTGATAACAAAAAAAGTCTTAAAAATCAAAAAATATTTTTCAAATATAAATACATAAATTTTGATCTCCGTTTCTCTTTAAATAATAAAATGTTTTGTGTTGAATTGTTAATTTTTTGTGGAGGGGGGAATTGGTTAATTTGTTAAATTAAATATGTAAAAACAACTTATATTCAGAATTTAGCTATATAAACACTAGAGATCGGCCTGAGCCTGGACGAAGGCGTGGGGTTTTTCCTTTACCCAGAGTCCATTCCCAGGCATTTTTTGACCTTGCTGGGTTTTTCCTGGGCCTGGGTTTTTCCTGAACTATAGGCACAGGATCCGGACCAGATATAAATCAAACCCGGAACCCAGGAACAGGCTCAGGCTTTCCAAAAATGCCGGTCCCTAATAACCACTGACCAGACAGAACTTTTCGGGGTTAATCAAATTGATTACAAATTTTATTAAACCAGGTAAGATTAATTCTGATTTTGCTTAAATTTTTTACGTAAACATTAGCATTTTAATTTTAAATATTTCGGATTCGCCAAAAAAATTTTTGGCGAAATGTATTTTTAAATGACATTTTATCCAAACTCCTCTTTTTATATGCTATTTTCACACAGAGATTGAAACAAAAAAAATTTTCAGACAAAATATTTTTTTCACGCAAAAATTTTTTTCGACACTTAATCTAAAATTATTTTTTAGGCTATTATTTTAATTTATTTTTTCATTTTTCAACTTAAAATATGCGTGATACTTCTAGAGATATTTTTGTTCGTCAACAAGTTGACTTAAAGTATTTTTTATTACATTCTTTTTAAATTTTAAACATTTCTTAGATTGACTTCAATCAGTCATTTTCAAGTACAAAATGGAATGATGCTTGTAGCAACTAACGGACAAAATTTGTTACACATTCGGTTGCAAAATTCCAAGAAAACAGGTTAATTTTTCGGCAAAATTCAAATTCGTACCTCTCCCCTATCCTTCCTCAAAGTACTAAAAAGGGTCAGATTTTGCTTCCTTTCTTAACTTTATTCTATTTCCTTATGGCATATAATTTTAGAGTAAAGTTGGGAAAAGAAGTAAAGTCTGACCATTTTTAAAATTTTGAGGAAGAACGAGGGTACGTCTACCGCAGTGCTGTAACTTCGTTTAAGATTTTTGAATCTGGGCCGCTTTGTCGGATTCAGCTCGCCAAGTTGTATCGAACCATACTAGGGCTCCTCAAATTCGATAATTCTGAAAGAAGTTATAGATCTGCGGTACGTTGGGCTCGCGGTACGTTGGCCTGCTCCCATAAAAGGGATGTGGGGACGAAGTCGATTTTACCATTTTTCCAAAAAAAATTTTTCAAGAAAATTTTTTCAGACCTAAAATTACACATTGAGATGCATGACAGAATTTCACATTTACACTTGGATTTTACTGGTATTCATGGTCTAGTGACCACTGTTTCTGGAGAAAATTTTTATGTTAATATGCGTAGTTGTGTTTTAAAGCCTATTAGGCGAATGAAGGTTTCAAATTTTTGTTTTTTATGTTTAATATTTAAAAAAAGGGAATGATTGTTAGTGCTGTAGCGTGGAATTTTGAGTTTAACAAGGATTCTGAAACTGGATTTATTCTCATTGGAACAACTAAAGGTTAAAAAATTTTTCTTAAAAATTTTTTTGTCCGCAAGTTTTGTCCGTAAAAATTCTGTCCGCAAATTTCTGTCCGCAAAAAATTCTGTCCGTAAAAATTTTGTCCGCAAATTTTCAATTTTTAAAAAATTAAAATTTTTCATTTTTAGGCGCAATTTATGAAACGAACATTTCTTCTTCTGGCTCAATTAATTATTTAAAGCAATTAAATCCAAATATTTCTGAAAAGGGATTGCCAATTTCTGCTTTGCATCTCCACCAAATGTCTGGTTCAGATTGTGATTATTTACTTTTAATTTGTGTTCCAAACCGACTTTATTGTATTTTTGGTTCAGCCAATCTACAAGTCAATTCTCAGCAAAGATCTACTCCTCAAGTTGTTGGAACCGTTTGGAGTAGTGTTATGGTCGATCAAAGTCAGGAGGCGGTGTTGCAGTCATTATTTACAAGTTTTTTTCTTATTATTTTAGTCTTTGAGCTAGACTATCGCTTATTAACATAACCAAAATCGTGTTTTCCATAACTAAATTAAAAAAATTTTTGTTCGCAAGTTTTGTCCGCAAATCTTTCAACTTTTCATAAATTGAAATTCCTCGTTTTATTTCCTCACCCGTAACCGAAAATCCCCACAAAAGCGGTCAAGACAGTGTGCAGTGATTTTTTCTCCGATTTTCAGATCCTTGAAAATTGAAAATTTTGGCTATGTTGATGAGCGATAGTTTTACCCTTTTCTATTTCTGTCGATTTTTGTATAAGTGTCAAAAAATTATAAACCCTTTCAGATGATAACAAACCTCAATATCTTTCAATGGTCAAAGACAAAGAAAATGAAGGTCCACCTAGTGCTTTTACCGTCTTTCCTCTGCAATGTGAAGAAGAAATGACACCAAAATTTGCTTGGTTAGCAGCTGATGGTCTTTCAATTGGAACGATTGATTCAAGTAATGAAGAGAATAATACAAGGAAATCTGATTGGTGTGATCGTCTTTGTATTGATGTTAACATAAAGTAAGGTTTATTAGAGATTGGATCGGGGTTTTTAAAAAACCTTGACCTTTGACCTTGATTTTAAGTGAGGGCCTTGACTAGATATTTTATTTTAAGTCAAGAAAAAATCAAGGAACTCTGAAATCAAGGGCGTAACTATGGGTGATGAAGCCCCCCCCCCCCCCCCGAACGGGGGAAGGAATTGGGAGAATGATGATCGAAAGCCTGAGGCGTTAAAAATATAAAAATTTATGTGCAACAAATTTTGGCGCACACCCCATGTTAGCCCCCCCCCCCTTAAAAAAATCGACCCCCCTGGCTACGCCCTTGTCTGAAAATGACTTGATTTTGACTCTGAATCAGGCAAAGTCAAGGTCTGGATCCGGCTCGATCTCTATGGGATTTTATGGACTCTTAATCTTCGAAAAAAATTTTTTTTCTAGTCATCGTCGTTCTGAAGGCAGACTTGATTATCCATTGGATATTTGTCTTACAGAATTTCACCTGTTACTTTTGTATACAAGCAGAATTGTTGCAATTTCACTTTTTGATAAAACACTGGCATTTGAAGATTTTTTTATTGTTTGTGTTTTTAATTAGAGAGGGGTTAGATTTTTAAAAATTTCAATTTTAGGGTATTCCCAAAATAATTGGAATGGGAAGGGATGCATCTTCTCATATGATTTGGGTTTTTGCAGAATCTTCTATTTTTATGTACCGGCCAAATGATGAATGCCGTGAAGTTTGGCGTTTTTTTATGGAACGGAAAGAATTTGCAAAAGCTAAAAAGGTTGCCAATCAATTACAAGATAGAAGACCTTTCCAAATAATTTTGAAAAAAGAAGCAGAAAAATTTTTGATGGAAAGAAAGTTTGTTTTTATATTGAATAGAAATTTTAAAGTATTTTTTTTATCTTTGGGAGAGTTTGGGCGTGGGGACATTTGGGCGATTTTTGAAAAATTTGTTGAATTTTATAATTTTTGGGAAATCGATATTTTAGGACAATTCTGTGATTCTGGCCCAACTTATTAGAGATCGGAATTTTTGAAAAGCCTGGTTCTGGGTTTGATTTATTGACTTGGGCCTGTAGTCCAGGAAAAACCCAGAAAGGTCAAAAAATGCCTGGGCCTGAACTTTGGGTTCAAGAAAAACCTAGGCCAAGGTCCAGACCCAGGCCGATCTCTACAATTTATTGTTAAATAAAACAATGCTATTATATTTTTGCAAATTTTCTTATTTCTAGATAATTATTTCACGTTTAATCGACCGCGCCCTAATATCCCACTAATGGATTATTTAACATAAGTTTACTTCTTTTTTATAAGATTTTTCCGTGGATCCTTTCAATTTTTTAAAAATTTTTGATTTCTTTTCATTTTAGATGAAATATTTTTCGAATTGCAGTTTTGTGGCTGCTGCTGATGCTTTGGCTCAATCAGATGAACCTTTTGAAAAATTGGTGCTTTTACTTTTGAAGGATGGACCTAGCAGTCGAAATGGTTTAAAACACTTTTTGGAACTTCGTCTTAGTCGTTTTCAAGGAAATGAGGTTTTTTCTTAAATTCTTTTGCAATTTCCGAATTTCAAAATTTTTCAGCAACGTATGCATAGAGACATGTTGGTCCTTTGGCTTTTAGATATTCAACTTTCTGAACTTGCCGAGCATCGTCAAAGTGTAACTAGTTCAACGGATGCTTTTATTATTGAGGGTAGCTCTAGTGGAGGTCCTTCTAGCGAAGTTTCTGATACACGTGAAGCTCAAATTCGACAATTGAAAGATCAAATTTTCTGTTTTCTTAATAGACCAATAGTTTTCCAAGCTGTTAGTGATAACCAGACGGCAGTCTATAAAATGATTAGGTTAGTTAATTTTGTAGTTGATTGTTGCGATTTTACTCTAGTTTTGGTTAGAATTCTGACCTTTTTTTAAAAAATTTTTCACAGCAAATTTTTAGTATCTCCAGGCCAAAATTTTAAGAATTTTAGAAGGTCGAAGGACAAAAAATTACACTTTTTTCCCAAACCCTTCCCCAAATTTTCTCCTTTTCCCCATTTTAGGAGGGGGGGGGATTCCCCCCTCACCCCCTGGCTACGGGCCTGTTGGTCCAGCCTCTTCAAAAATTTTTTCTGGGCACACCTTTGATGTATTAAATTAAAATAAATTTTTTAAATTTAAGTTCTCATGTCGATTTCGATGTTCAATTATATTTGGCTAATAAATTACATGATACTCAAACAGTTCTCAAAATTTTGTTAATTCAAAAATCATACAAAGAAATTCTTGATTTGTTGGAACGTGATTCATCAAATTTAATTTATGAATATTCTGAAGCTTTAATTACTCAAGTGCCTGTTGAATTAATTTCTCTTTTGCTCAAAAAACTAAACAAACTGGATCCTTTGAAACTTTTGCCAGCTTTTCTTAAATGTTTGAATCCAGAATTGAAAAATCGTGCAAAAGTGGTATGAATTTTTTCTTTACTTTTATTAAAAAAATTTTTTAATTTTTAGTAAGGTGGACATTACCGGTTATTAACAGATACCCCCTCTTTTCAGTTAATCCAATTTTAAAACACCCGGTTTTCGGTTTTGAGTTTATCGAATACCGGTTTTATTTTGAGTGAATTTTTAATAAAATCACTCATTTTCAAAAATTTTCGGTTTTTGGTTTTTAAAACTTTCTAAAAACTGTTAATTTTTGGCAAAAAAATATCAAAATTTCTGGTTTCAAAACCGATCGTGTCCAACCCTAATTTTTAGGTTGATGCTATCTTTACTTTTATTGAAAATCTTTCCCCAACACAAACAAATGGTGCAATTCTTGATTTTTGTATTAATTTATATGCAACGTTCCGACCACTAGAATTATTGCCTTTTATGCAGAAATGTATTAATAATAATTCTAAGACTTCATTTAATATGGCAGAAGCTTTAAGAATTTGCACTGAACATGGTTTTTTTTAAATTTTTTTAATTTTATTGGAATTGAAACTTGATTTGTCATTTCCATTTCCTACGCATTTTTTAAATTCTTGTTTTGTTTATCACTGGTATAAATTCCGGTAGATTTCGTACGATTCCCTAAATGAAAAATTTGCTGGAATTTATGATTTCTGAAATTAAAAATGGTGTTAAGGCAGGATCCTTGTTATTTCCCTAATTTCCTTTTGATGTTTTCCTACAATTTTTTGTGAAATTTTGTAAACATAAAAATTAATTAATTTTCAGGTCTTGTTGAATGTCGAGTATTTCTTTTGTGTATTGAAGGCCTTTATGAAGATGCGGTTATTTTAGCTTTAACAATTTCTATTGAATTGGCTAAAAAATGTGCTAATGAATTAGAAAAAGCAATTGAAAAAAGAACTGTTGAAAAAGATACTTTGCTTGAAATTGTTGATACAAAAAATAGTCAATCCGATTCTATTTTAATGGAAATGCGTAGAAGAGTTTGGTTAGAAATTTGTAAGATTTTTTTTGAATTTTAAGGGCTGTTTCTTCTGTTTCCAAAAAATCTTACTTTTCTGAAGTTCCAGGTCATGACTGACCTCAGTTCATGTTCGTAGCCAGAGGGAATTCCCGCCTCCCCCGAAATGGGTAAAAGCAAAAAAATTTTCCCCCCTTGCCCCCCTCCTCTCCGAAAAAATCCTGGCTACGGGCCTGCCTCAGATCCATTTTTTTTTGTTTTACGCAACCTTGAAACCTGAGCACTAATTCTATAAATATGTTTTTCAGCAAAAAGTATGATAAAGAGTGGAACTCCAATTTCTCAATGTCTTGCATTACTTGATGAATCTAAACGAGTAATACGAATACAGGATGTTTTAGATTATTTTCCTGAATTTACAAAAATTGAACACTTTAAAGAGCCATTAATGGGATTTCTTAAAGAATATTCAAATGAAATTAAGGTTTCTTTTCGTTACAAAATTAAAAAAAATATTTTTTAAGAAACTTCAAATGGAAATACGTGATGCAACAGAAATGGCCGAAGAATTAAATGAAGAAATTGATAAAGGAAAATCAAGGTTTGTGGAAATTTTTTTTTAATTTTAAAAATTTTCCTTTAGTTTTATGGTTATTCGTGCAAATAGTTCATGTTCATTTTGCCGAGAATCTTTGCTTAAACGCCAATTTGTTGCTTTTGTGTGTAGACATTGTTTTCATAAATCTTGTTTAGAAGAAAAATTGAAGGTTTTTTAAAGTTTTTCTTTCGAAAATTAAAAAATTATTTTTTAGCAAAAATCCCCTGAATTTGTTAAATTATTGGCTGAAGAACGTATTCTTAAAAAAGAATTTAAAAAAGTTACGGAAAATACATCAATTAATATTTTGAGGCGAGGTGAAAAGAATGGAAGAGAAGGTTTTTAACGGTTTTTACTTAAAATATTTTTAAATTTCAGAGGTTACAAAACGTAAATTAGATACAGTTCGTACACGGATAGAAGAATTATCATTGGGAGATTGCCCCCTTTGTGGATTACAAACAATTGAGGATGTAGATAGACCTTTTTTTGATAGTGGAGATGATTATTTGGAACAACTTAAAATGTGGATACCTTGAGATTTTAAAAAAATTTTTTTATCCGGGTTACGATTTATATAATAAATTTTTTATTAATTAGAGTTCGTGTTTACAATTTAATGATTGTTTTTTGTTCCGAAATAAATTAAAAATCGATATTTTACTACCTCGAACTCTATTTTTATTTTTTACACCAAAAGGAGGGTTGTTGGCGTCCGGTTAATTTTTGCCTGTGGAGGCTCTAATAGAGAAGATAAGTCTGTTTAAGCCGCCATACGGAAAAATTAGCCAGTCGTCAACAATCCTATCCAAAATTTTTTTGACATATAATTTTATATATATTTATAAAAAAATTTAATTTTAAAATTTATTTTATTGAATAATTCACAATTAAATTTTCGTTGTTTGACAAGTAATACTATTCTTTTAATTACATTTTTTTTGTTTTCAGTCATAATCTCTTTTAGAATTTTTATTTTTTTTGCTAATGGTTTGCACTTCTAGAGATATTTTTGTTCGTCAACAAGCAGCATTGTCGCGATCAGATGAGCCATTTGACAAATCAATTCTTTTACTTTTAAAAAAGGGACCGGCCAATCGAAATGAACTCAAACACTATTTGGAATCTAGTCTTAATCGTTTCATGGAAAAGGAGGTTTTATTTTAACTTAATACTCATTAGCTCAATAAATTAATTGGTACTTATTGGTTATCTTTAACTTTTTGAGGTCCTTTTTAGTTTTGTTTTTTCTGAATCATTGGGCATTATTAATTTCCATAACTCGAATTCGGTCGGCCTCTGAGTTTATACTGTCATGTTGATTTTACTTCATTTTGTGACCATTGAGTTCTGGAATAACCGATAAGTATTGATTGTGAGTATTTTTACCTGTTAGTCTATTTCTGTAGTCCTTTTATTTCCTTGAATTTTTCATTTCCAACATTTTCAGTATGATATGCAGAGGGATATAACAGTCTTTTGGCTTTTGGAAATTTACCTTTCTGAACTTTCTGAGCATCGACAAAGTACTACAAATGTTTCTGATGAAGGTGAATCTCAGCTTCGTCAATTAAAGGATCAAATATTTTCTTTTATTAATAAACCAATTGTTTTGCAAACTATTAAAGATAACCAGATGGCCGTCTACAGATTGATTAGGTTTGTTAATTTAATATACGGTTTTGGGTTTTTTCGTACCTTTATTGTGAGAGGGTTTTCTGGTATTCTTTACTAGATTTACCAGTATTCTTTGCCGCAGGCTAAAATTTGGCACTAATGAAGAAAGGGTGCCCAGTGCTTTTTTCGGTAAATATGTATAAAATGGTCAGTCTATCAATCAGAGCAAGCCCTTAGCCTGGATTTTTTTCGGAGGGGGGGGGGGCAAGTGGTGGAAATTTTTTTGCGCCAAATTTTTGGCGCCGAAGGCATCAAAAATTTTTATTTTCAGCGCCGCAGGCAAAAATTTTGAGAATTTTAGAAGGCCGTAGGGGGGGGCTACTACGGCCGTATCCAGTCCCCTCCTCAAATTTTTCCCTTTTCCCCGTTTCGGGGGTCGGGGGGCTTTAGCCCCAGAAACCCTCTGTCTACGCCCTTGCTGCCAACACGTCCATCGGTCGAATTTCTGGGATATTTTCCACATTTTTAGCATTAAAAAAATATTAATGATTTTCTTTTATTTAAGTTCTCATGTAAATTTTGATGTGCAATTATATTTGGCCAATAAATTAAATGATATTCAAACTGTTATTAAAATTTTATTAATTCAAAAATCATATAAAGAAATTCTTGATTTATTGGAACGTGATAATTCAAATTTAATTTACGAATATTCTGAAGCTTTAATTACACAAGTGCCTGTTGAATTAATTTCTCTTTTGCTCAAAAAACTAAACAATCTGGATCCTTTGAAACTTTTGCCTGCTTTTCTTAAATGTTTAAATCCTGAATTGAAAAATCGTGCTACAATGGTAAGAATATTTTTAAATTCATTAAACTGAAACACTTAAAAAGCCAAGACATTTCTTTACGAGTAATTTTGGGGAAGTGATTAATCTAAATTTTTTAACTTTATCATTAACATTTTATAGCTACCACAGTTTGAAACGTTTTTTTAATTTAAGGTTGATTCTGTTTTCCTGTTTATTGAAAATCTTACACCAACACAAACAAATGGCCCATTTCTTGATTTTTGTATTAATTTATATGCAACATTTCGACCATTACAATTATTACCGTTTATGAAAAAATGTATTTGTAAGGCTCATAATTCTTCATTTAATACTTTAGAAGCTATAAGAATATGCAAGGAACATGGTTTTTTATTTTTATTGTAATTGGACCAATTTTGAACCTTTATCTTGTGGAAACTTTCTCCCCAAAACTTTATTTTTTTGTCTTTTTGTAAAAAATTTTTTTTGAATAATTTTCAGGTCTTGTTGAATGTCTCGTTTTTCTTCTTTGTTTTGAAGGCTCGTATGAGGATGCGGTTATTTTAGCTTTAACAATTTCTATTGAACTGGCCAAAACATGCGCTAAAGAATTAGAAAAAGCAATTGAAAAAAGAACTACTGAAATGCGTAGAAGAGTTTGGTTAGAAATTTGTGGGTTTTTAACATTTTTGCATCATAAATCTGGTTTTCAGTAAAAACTATGGTAAAGAGTGGAACTCCAATTTCTCAATGCTTTTCTTTAATTAATGAGTCTAACCGAGCAATACGAATTCAAGATGTTATGGAGTATTTTCCTGATTGTACAAAAATGCAACACTTTAAAGAGCCATTAATGGGATTTCTGGAGGAGTATTCAAAAGAAATTAAGGTTAAATTTATAATAAGAATTAGTCTAATGTAACATGTTTTCTCCATTTGCTTTCATTTTTTGTAAAAGTACAAATGATACGATTCGGAATTTGCTAAAAGTTTTCGGGGCATATAGCAAAGGCGTATCCAGGGGGGCTAGAGCCCCCCCCCCCCCCGAAATGGGAAAACGGAAAAAATTTGGGGAAGGGCTGGGGCAAAAAAAAAAGTGAATTTTTTGAGCCTACGGCCTCTGAAATTAAAAAAATTTTCGCCTGCGACGCTGAAAATCAAATTTTTGGCGCCTGCGGCGCCAAAAAAGTGAATTTTTTGGCCTACGGCCTTCCAAAATTAAAAAATTTTCGCCTGCGGCGCTAAAGTGATGAAAATTTATGTACAAAAAATTTGACGTTCGGAACGTCAAAGTGAACGCCAAAATTTTGGCGCACACCCAATGTTAGCCCCCCCCCCCCCCCCCCCCGAAACCGACCCCCTGGATACGCCCTTGGCATATAGGGATTTTGGACTAAATTGGTATAAAATTTAAGCAAATTATTTTTTGAGTGTTCATCGTATTAGGATCGTTGAAGTTGTATGCTTCATTTAATTTACGCCCCTACCATTTGTACTTTTAGGGATCGGGAAAAACGTCTAGGGGATAGGGAAAAATGGGCGGAATATGGTTATTTAACGGATAAGTACCTAAAAAAAATTAAAAAATTTAAGAGGCTTCAAAAAGAAATTTCTGATGCAACTGAAATGTCTGATGAATTAAATGAAGAAATTAATCGAACAAAATCAAGGTTTGTATAATTTTTTTCAAAAAAAAAATAAAGTTGTTTCTTAAATAGTTTTATGGTTATTCGTGCAAATAGTTCATGTTCAATCTGCAAAAAATCCTTACTTACTCATCACTTTGTTGCTTTTGTGTGTAGACATTGTTTTCATAAATCTTGTTTGGAGGGAAAATTGAAGGTTTTATAAGATTTTAAATTTTTTTAAATAAAAAATATTTTTTAGCAAAAATCTCCTGAATTTGTTAAATTATTGGCTGAAGAACATAATCTTAAAAAAGAATTTAAAAAATTAACGGAGAATTCAACAATCAATGCCATTTTAAAACAACGAGGTGAAAAGAATGGAAGAGAAGGTTTTTATATTTTTTAAAAATTTTTATTCCAAACTCCTCAATAGGTGCGGACATAATTAGTCACACATTTTTATAACTAAATTTTTTGGCAAAATAACAATCAAAGATATATCAATCAACGAGATAGTCACCATGGATAGTTTAGAGGCACTTCTAACAGCCTCTAAAATTTTAAATTTTTTTGTTAAACATAGTAAGAGTTATGGTCGAAAAATTCGGGAACAAAGAAAAATTGTGTTACTAATTATGTCCGCACCTAATATGTTATTCAACAACCAAAACATAAAACTTGTATTTTAAAATCGAAAAGCATAGGAAATACGTACTGACAGAAATTTATTTTGAATAAAAATACTTGAACGGTAAAATATTTTTTTAATTTCAGAAGATGCAAAACGTAAATTAGATTTTGTCCGTTCACAAATTGATCAATTATTATTGGGAGATTGTCTACTTTGTGGATTACAAACAATTGAAGATGTGGATAAACCTTTTTTTGATAGTGGAGATGATTATTTGGAACAACTTAAAATGTGGATACCTTGAGATTTTTTTTTATTTTTATTCGCTTTACGAGGTTTAATTTTTATATTTTTTAATATTAAATAAGTTGAGTTCGTAGTATTTACAGTGTAATGATTTTTGTTTTGTTTCAAAATACCTAATTTAGAAATATTTCACTATTTTGAACTCTATTTTTATTTATTAAACTAAAATTTTTTGACATATAATTTTATGGCTTCCGGACAATGCGACATTTGAAAATGCTTCAGTGATTAACACTGAGTCATTGGACTAATGGAGGCATATAAGGATATTTATGAATAATCAACAAGGGATTTTGGGTGGTTAAATAGATAGAGAATGTTGGTGTGATTTATCGGGATATCCTTTTGAACCTAAATTTCTTAGACAAGCCCTCTTGATCCTGCAAATCTTTTGATATCTTTGTCAAATCCTTTTAATCTCTAGATGCCCCCTTAATCCCGATATCCATCTTAATCTACCCAGATCTCACAATGTCCATGCTAATTCCTCAAATACGCTCACATTTTTTACATCCACTTTTATCCATGAAAATCCTTCGATATTTTTTCAATTTTTCTATAAACATTTAATCCCTTCGTTTTTGATATTCTCAAATCCCTTGTTATCCGATTGAGTCCGTCAAGTTCCCCGATATCTCTCTTAATCCCCGTGTTAATTACTCCTAATCTCTTTATATCCTTTTATTAGTCCGCTGACGATTTTTACTTATTCTCCACTGACGCATTGTCCGGAACGGATTGTATATTTTTTATAAAAATTAAAAATAAAATCTATTTTATTAAATAATCTAAAATTAAAATTTTGTTGTTGGAAAAGTAATATTCTTAAAATTATATTATTAAATAAGAAAATTTTTTTTATTTTCAAGTAGTTTTAGCTTTTTTGTTCATTTCTCTAATGGTTTGCATTTTAGGAATTGAAGGAAGTTTGTTTATATTTTCATAAAATTTATAAAAAAAATTTTCAAGGTGCAAATAAGATTGGCGTAGGCATTGTTTGTGATGGTGAAGTACTCAGCAATCCGAGACGAACTTTTCATGCTCCCCCTGGTGAAGGATTTCGTCCAACCGAAACAGCAGTTCATCATCGACAGCATGTTGTATCACTTGTGATTGAAGCTCTGAGGATAGCGAAAATAGAGGTTTTTAAAAGATTCTTCTTTGAAAGTATTTGAGGTTTAGATCATCAAGCTTTTAAAAGTTTTTAAGGTTTGGGAGTATTTTTAAATTAGAGGACCTTTCTATTGTGTAAGATAAAGGTTTACTTTGAAAAGGGAACCTTTCGAACTGTGATCAAAAATTTTTAAATAAAAATACCATCGTGTCGACTTTTCAGATGACTTTTCAGACCCAAGATTATCCGTAAATAGGCAAAAAAAAACTATCCAAAAGTGAGAGGTTATCGACCATCTCTACACGACTTTTATTTAAAAAATTTTTTGTCGGAGTTCGAACCTTGTTTTTGTATTTCACAAATAGCTTTGTTTATATGGATTTTTTTGAAAAGATCTTTGCCATATCATCCTCTTCTAGTTCTTGATTTTTGAAAACCATAAAAATGATTCACCCTCTCGACATAAGCAAAAAACATCTCATTCTCTTCTAATTTTTTTTCTATTTTCGGATCCGTATGAAGAGATTGATGCAATTGCTTACACAAAAGGACCAGGAATGGGTGCACCTCTACAGGTTGGAGCTGTAGTTGCCCGTACACTTGCACAATTATGGAAAAAGCCTGTTATTCCAGTCAATCACTGTGTTGGACATATTGAAATGGGAAGATTAATTACTGGTGCTAAAAATCCAGTTATTCTTTATGTTAGCGGTGGAAATACACAGGTTTATTAATTTATACGGGCGAAATTTGGGGAATTTTTCTGAGGCCTAGGAAATTCATTTTTTCCCATCATACCCCTATCATTATTTTCCTTTTACTCTATTTCTGGAGGGGATCAAAAAATTTTACAATTAAAGTCATCCTAACCCAGGTTTTCCTTCTAGAATTGTTTTGAAAGATTTTTATTTTGATGCGAGTTTGATTTTTAGTCGCTTTAGTACAAAATAGTGACGTAGCCAGGGGGTCGATTTCAAGGGTTTTTTTCATTTCCCTTCACCCTTCCCGGCTACGTCTTTAGTATAAAATCCATTTTTTGTCATTTTCCTCCCAAATTGTTTTCTTTTTTTCTTATTTCGGCTAGGAGCTTAGGATGTTAAAAAAGATTTTGACCCCCTCCGCGCCAAATGAGTTTCTCTGGTAATGAAATTTTTTCAGAAACTTTCCCCTAAAAAATTTCATTTTTAGGTCATTTCCTATTTAAATCAATGCTATTGTATTTTTGGAGAAACTTTGGATATTGCTGTTGGTAATTGTCTTGATCGTTTTGCTCGTATTCTAAAACTTTCAAACGAACCTAGTCCCGGTTATAATATTGAACAATTGGCTAAAAAAGGTTCTCGCTTCTATCAACTCCCTTATGTTGTCAAAGGAATGGATATTTCTTTGTCTGGAATTCTTTCACATATTGAAAAAGAAGCTCCAATACTTGTTAAATCTGGAAAATTTTCTGATGCTGATTTGTGTTTTTCTTTGCAGGTTTTTTTAAAATTTTTTGAAAATTTTTTGGATGAATTTTGGGTTAGAAATTTTTTTAGAAAATCCTTTGGGAAAAATTCTTGGTAATACCAAGGTTGCCCCCTCATCTTTTTCTTTCTTAAGTACGTACATATGGTCAATTTTCTAAATTATTTCCTCGTTAGGGGTATAGTTAACATAAAATTCTACTTAAAATAATTTTTGTTAATACTATGAGGAAGGTGGGTGGTAACGAGTTTTATATTTTTCTATTAATTGCAAAACTTAGTCTTACAAAACATCTTTCAATCAGGCCTGTAGGCAGGACCCCTTGACACCCCCCCCCCCGAAAAAGTCCTGGCTACGAGCCTGAATTCAATCAAAATATTTTGATTAGGATTTTATTTTGTTTGGAATGTGTATTAGCCTGACACGCTTGGTCTTCCTTACAAAATTTCCTAGAAAATAAAAAAAATTTTTTAATTAATTTATTTTTTAGGAAACAGTTTTTGCAATGTTAGTTGAAATAACTGAACGTGCAATGGCACATTGTGGTTCAAAAGAAGTTTTAATAGTTGGAGGTGTTGGATGTAATGAACGTTTACAACAAATGATGAATATAATGGTTAATGAAAGAAAAGCTAAATTATTTGCGACAGATGAACGTTTTTGTATTGATAATGGGGCTATGATTGCTCAGGTTTTTTTTGGAAAAAAATTTTTTTTTAATTTTTAAAATAAATAATAAATCTTTTGTTGAATCCGGTGAACCCCAAAAAATTTTTTTCTAATGAATTTTGGTTCCAAAAAAATTATTTTTTACGGCGGAATGTTTTTTGAATTTTCTATAAAATATTTAAAAAATAAAATAAAAAGTTAGGTTTTAAAATTATTTAAAAAAATTTTTTGGAACCAAAATTCATTAAAAAAAATTTTTTTTATGTTCTCCGGATTCAACAAAAGATTTATCTTTTGTTTTAAAATAAAAAAAATTTTTTTTTAATTTTTAAAATAAAGGGTAGGGTTTATAGTTAAATCCAGAGGGTTCTAAAAAATTTTTTCTTTGATGAATTTTATTCCAAAAAATTATTTTTATATGTCAAAAGGTTTTCTGGAATTTTTTTAAATTAAATTTTTAAACCTTAAAAAGCCCTTAACAAATTTTTTAAAATAATTTTTATTTAAAGGCTGGTTGGGAAATGTATAATTGTGGAATGAATGCTCCCATAAAAGAATGTACATATACACAAAGGTATAGAACTGATCAAGTTAATGTTTTGTGGAGAGAAAAATAAATTGAATTTTGTTTTGTTGTTAGATAATTTACCGGATTGTCTTTAATACAAGCCCTGGGCTTCTATTTTTCAATACCCCTCAATGAGTGGGCTTCTATATTAGAGGCAATACGTTAATAAAAATATTATTTAGAAAATTTCAAAAAAATTTTTTTGAATTTTAATAAATTTTTAAAATTATTTCTTTTAAAAATTTAATTATTTTACATTAATTCTTTAAAAATATTTTTAAATTTTATATTATGTTTTAAATTATTTTTTAGGAAAAGCATATTTTAATTTAAAAAATGAAACAAATTGAAGTTTTTGGTCACAACGAATTAAATAAAAAAATATTAGAATTGCCCAAAGATGAGGTAATAATTATTTATTTTGTTGGAACAAAATTAGAAGAAACTGGAAAATCTTGGTGTTCTGATTGTGTTAAAGCAGAACCTTCAATTGAAGAAACTTTGTTGGAATTGAAAGCTTTGAATGAAATTTTTTTGGTCTGTAATGTTGGAAATAAGGAAGAGTGAGGAGATTTTTTTTATAAAAATTTTTTTATAATTTTGGATGGGTTATTTTAAAAATCCTATGGAAAGGTCAGAGTTTAAAAATGAAAGCTGGGCTAAGGTTCCTGGCGATTCCATAGTCAATGGGGATTCGGCTAGATTTTTTTAGGGTTGGTGTCCCAAATTAGAGTTTTCCTGACCGGATTAATTTAGAAAAAAACGATAGGGTCTGATCCAAGGTGGCCTTTTCCAAATCACCACCAAAAGGAGGCATGGGCTCTCAAAAAGGGGGCGAAATAGGTCAAGAAAGGGGACATTTTTTAATCGCCGCAGGCGAAAATTTTGAGAATTTTGGAAGGCCAAGAACGAGGCAAAAGGGCCACCCTGGTCTGATCTAGCACATATACAAAATCCAGAAAATACGGCTTTGGAAAAGGAGACATAGACCATCTTAGAAACCGTGGAACCATTTAATTGGGAGGGGGGGGGGGATAAAAGTGGATTTAAGTTAAAAAATTTCTTTTTAATTTTTTTTAGATGGAATAATCCAAATAATCCAATAAAAATGGATGATAAATTTGGAGTTAAATGTATACCTACAATGGATGTTTTTAATGTAGAAAAGGGGTGTGTTGGAAAAGAAAAATTGGATAAGGACGAAGACTTTATGGATAGTGGAAATGTAATTTCTTTTATTGTTTCTTCAACATATTAAAATTTTTTAATGGCTGTCCCTTAAAAATAGCCAGAAAAAATCGAAAAAAATTTTTTTTCTGAATTTTTTTTTAATTTTGAAAATTTTCTGAAAAAAATTTTTTCTTGGCTGTTGACAACCTTCTAAAAATATGTAATCTTAAATAAAAAATTGATTGTATTTTAAATTAAAATGATGATAATTTTTTGCTGATTTATTTGTAAATCTTGGATAAGATACATATTTATTCAATGAATAAAAAGATTTTGAAAAATCATCTTCCTTCTTTAATCGTTTGCATACATTCGACTTGAAAAAATTTAGAAAATATTTATTTTTAAATTTAATCGGTTCTCTATTTGTTTAAATATCGTACATGTTCTGGTAGAACCACGTGTCTTTATTCTTCAACCCTCTCACAGGGTGTGCTTATAGTAGGGTTGTCTGAGATTGAGGGTCTTCTGAGAATTGAGGGCCTCATAGAAAATTAACGAGAAGTTATCTTTAAATTGTTACTCCAAAATTTTGACAGTGGAGAAATACAGTTTTCTTGAGAACTACTGAGAAATTTCTGGCTGACCATTTTGTACAAAAAAGTAAGATGCGGATTGGGGGAAGGGGAGGGGGGGGGGAAGCGGCATAAGTACCCTAACCTAATTCCCTTAAACTAATTTTCTCTAACCTTTTAATTATATTGTAAATAAGCATTATACAAGCAGTTACAAACACAACAAGCACAAATTGGCCAAAACAAATGCCAACACAACGCCATTGTTTGCTTTGCAAAGGAGCCTTTTTGCAATGACAGTGGTGGCAGGCGCCTAGAAGTATTGATAAAATTTTGAAGGGATTTAAAATCAAAAATTTCAAGGGAAAATATTTTCTAGATTGACGCAGAATCTGAGAACTTCCTTTAACAAGATCCAAAAGATTCACAAATTTATAAAGATCAATATGGGCTAGACACCGTACACTCCCGGTCTGTGCGCCAAAATTTTTTCGTGGTGCGCCAACGCCAATATTTCAAATTTTTAAATCACGCCAAACGCAAAACGCCAAAAGTCTGCCAAAAATGGACGCAAAACGCCATTACGCACAACCCTGATGCACTCCCTAAGGCTATACAGTTGGTTCCGGTTATATTCTTTGTGATTAGGGTTGGGGTTTTCGAGTTCGTTCGAGTCATTTTTTTTCGGGCCGGCCCGACCAAGTCTTTTTCGGGCCAAAATTCAATGCCTGACTCGATCTTTCGGACCGGGCCCCAACCCTATTTGGGATATAAGCACCCCTGATAGTGTTGTCGATACTTGGAAAACCTTCGGATATCTGGGACCGAACCGACAATCCTACTATCTGATAATCAAAATTAACTTACAGCAACATTTCCCTGAAGAATTCATAATAGATTCGAAATTTATGGAATTTCAAGTTGCTCTTTTATGCTTTAAGCCTTTGTATAGTGTATAGTTATGCTTTAAGCCTTTGTAAGATGTGAAAAGCAAAAAATGCAAAAAAAATTTTTTTAAGGAAAAAGATACATAAATCTGTTTATTTTAATCTATCCCCTAGAGACGTCCTTTAAAATATTTTTTAAAACTAAATTTTAAAATAATTTAAATTCGGATATCTATTACTCTATTACCCCTTAATAATTTTCTTTGATATTAGAATGGGTCTACCGTATATACTACTCTATTAATTACCCTTGGTAGTCTCTTGGGGATTGATTAAGATAAATAGATTTTTATCAAGTAAATGTAAAGCATATAGCTATTTAATTCCTAAGGCTATGCAGTAGAGCTGGGCTTATTTCGCAATTTCGCGTTTCGCATCTTTCGCATTCTCTCATTTTTCAGCGCGAAAAGTTTCGCATTTCGCTTTCTATGTTTAGATTTCGCCCAGCCCTGCTATGCAGTAGGCGGCTTGGTGTAAAGCTATCACTTCAGTCAGGTCTACTGAATAAGGATGGCGGTTCTTGGGAAATCTCCGGATATCCGGAACTGGTATCCGAACCGAAAATTTCCCGATATCCGAGGTTTCTTCGGTTCCGGATACCCGGAACCGCCAACCTTACTACTGAAGATGCTGGTTAGCTCCCAGCCGCCGATTAACCTTTTGTACTAGCTAAAGGGTAGAAATAGCTATAGCCTAGCTGCTTTACTTTAACACTAAAATTGCAAATCTTTATTCAAATAACAGAATACATAACACTGTGTTTTGTTGTTTTGTCTTTCGCTTTATAAGATCTTTTTAGTTACAGCCTTGATACACAACATATTTACTTTATCCATTTTGGGCAGGCCCAACAATATTCGAAACTTGATTTTTCTTTAATAAACTAAACAATTTTCCAAGTAAAATTTTTGTGTCAGTCCGAACAGTTTTGTTTAATGTTAAGTAAATTACTGGTGGGAAACCTACAAAAATTTTTTAAAGATATTTAAATTTGTTTTTTAATCAGGGTGACCCTTTCCAAATCACTAACAGGAGCATGTAGAAAAAGTGATAGAAAAGGGCAAGAAGTGTCAGACAGGGGAGAACCCCGCAGATGAGGTAAAAGGGTCACTCTGTTTTTAATAACAAAATTTATTTTTGGTTAACCTACCATGAATATGTAACCTTAAAAATTAAACAAAAATTATACAAAATTAAATTTTAATTAAAATTTACCAAGTAAAATGGGCAATCATTAATGGCAAAATTCCAAGATTTGAATGATTCATATTGTAAGCGTAGGAAATACCTGCTGATGCATTTAATATTGAAATGATAAATACTTGAAGAAAGACCTTAAAATTTTACAAATTTAATATTTATTACCGGAGGTGGGTCGGAATTCCGATTTTCAAAAAAATTTTTGATTTCCGATTTCCGACTTTTGAGCCAGTTCCGATTTCCTCTTCCGATTTCCGACACCTCTGACTGTTCCGACCCACATATGACTAGTACTGAACTTCAAATTTAAATAACGTTCTCGATTATTTACCCCCTCTGGCATTAGGGTGAAACAATTACTAGTGAGCGAATCCAGACCGGACCTGGCCTAGGATATTCAGAACTCCGTACCTCACTTCCAAAACATTTCCGTAGAATAGAAGTGGAATTTTGACGAAGTTTCGTTTTGGGATTTGGGTGGATTAAGAGGGACATTGGAGTATTTGGGTAAATTTCGAAGGAAAGGGAGAATTTGAGTGATTTTCAAATTCTCAAGAGTTCAGGAACTAACTCCCGGAAAGCAATGGTGACCTTCCTATATTTAAAAGTAGAGCGCGGAATTTCGTACCGTACCGTATTCCGTACCGTATTTCCGGCCATATTCTTTTCCGTATTCCGTACCGTATTTCAGAATTTTACCGTTCCGTAAAACGGTACGGAATACCGAAAAATACCGATACGAAAAATACCGATAAAAATTTATCGGTATTCCGTACCGTATTTGAAAAAATTGTGTAATTTGTTAAACAATAATTATATTTATATATAAATCTTTAGAGACAAAAAATATATCTTGGATTTAAATTATTAAGATAGATTTGGAGGGATATCTGAAGATTTAGAGGGATATCGGTGTTTTAGTTGGGATTAAGTGGATTTTAATGAAAGCCAGGGATTGGAGAAAATATTCTTTTGATTTCTAGTGATTAAGGAGGATTCGGGATAGGATGATTATTGAGAATATAAGTGGATTAAAGAACTAAGGGGATTTACCCTCAAATATTCTTAATACCGAATTACCCTCAAATCCTCTATCTCCAATCCAGATCAGGGCTGGACGCAATTGCGGACTGGGCTGCGGAAATTTTTAGTTGCGT